GGCTGCAGAGGGGTGGGAAGAGGCTGTGCAAAGGCAAAAAGAGAGAAACAAACGCACACTGCTTATTTTGAAAGTTTAAAAAGCCAACGCGCCCCACATTCAGAACAACAGAAGTGCAAAACCCTTCGCTGAGCAAAACCAAAGAAAGTGAATTCCCGGAGGCAGCAGCAACCATGGAGACCTGCACACTCAACACCTCCATCGCAGTTCAAATCTGGGCCAGGATCCCACCATGCTAACCTTTAGCTGAGATTCCTGCACTGCAGGGGGTTGGACTAGAGGACCACAGGAGGTCCCTGAGCACCTGGGATGGGCCCATCTAGTCAGGAACCTTCTGCCCAAGAGTGGCTAGCAAGATGCTTGCAGGGAATGAAGGCATTTGGGGGTAGACTGTCTTGGAACCTGGAGGTTCAATTCAGCAACCATTGGTTTGAAAGGGAAATGACATCCATTAAGGGCGAGAGGTCTGGTGTTGACTAGTCAGTGGTCATCCCTCCGTCATGGGGCGGTGAGTTCCACCAGTTAACCCTGTGCTGTGTGAAGTAGTACCGTATTTTACTTGGTCAGTGTGGCTACCAAGTTGAATGGCTTTGAAAGAGGACAGAACAAATTATTTTCATTATTCTCTGTGTAGATTAGCTTGTCTTTTATTGCATTGTGAAAAGTGTTAATAAAACTTTATATAAAAAAGGAGCAAGTCAGTGACAAGGAAACTGGAAATCCGGCAGCTGGATGGGAGAAAGGAGCTGGAATGAAATTTCCTCTCCTGCCAACCTGGGAAGTTTTAAATTTTTATATACCCGTATTTTTCGCTCTATAACACACACCCGACCATAACACACACATAGGTTTTTAGAGGAGGAAAACAAGAAAAAAAATATTCTAAACGAAACAGTGGATGTATGATTTTTGTGGTTCATGCTGTGGCCACAGACATGTGATCTGACGGTGAGTTTGGGGTAGCCCAATGCAAAAATCCTGAGGATCCACGTGGATCCATGCTTTGTAACCACGTTTTTGCACCATTGCGGCCCCAGGCAACAGTGGGTGCGTGATTTTTTTGGTGCAAGCTGTAGCCATGGACATGCTATGTGATCTGATGGTGAATTTGGGGTGACCCAGTGCAAAAATCCTGAGGATCCATGTGGATCCGTGCTTTGTAACCATGTTTTAAGTGGGGAGGGAAGGAAAAGCACTCGAGGGACAAGGAACACGCGTGGGGTGGGTGGAGAAGGATGCTGTTAATAATGCAGAAGAGGGGTATAAGAGGAGAAGGCTCCTTCCCGCTTTGCTCCTTTAAAGAAGCAGGACTCTCTGTCCCTCTCTCCTCCCCACTCAGCGGCTCTTCTCCCGCTTTGCTGTTTCAAAGCGAACTACGGAGGAGGGAAGGAAGGGGAACCATGGATCCTCTGCTCACGACTGCAGCAGATCCCCCCCGCCACCCGTAGGCATTCGCTCCATAACACGCACAGACATTTCCCCTTACTTTCTAGGAGGAAAAAAGTGAGTGTTATGGTGCAAAAAATACGGTATTTTTTTTTAGGGGACATGTTAGAAAGGCCCCTACACCAGTAGTCTCAAGCCTCAAACCTTTGTACACAAAAACATTAACCACAGGATATCCGCTGGGTGCATTTCTCCACAGCCTTTGCACATATATCATGAAAGAGACACCTATCAATCCGACAGATGGAAAGGAAGCCTGAGGACATCTAGCCCACCCTCCTCCTGCCAGCAGTGGCCTTCCTCACCTAAAACCCCTTTCCCAAGGCAAGGAGGGGAAACCACCTGTGCTGGGAACAAGCTCCAGCCGTAGGCACCCAATATCTGAGGAGCTGCTACATGGAAGATGGAGCAAGCCTGTTTTCTGCTGCTCCAGAGGGGAGGCCCCAATCCAGTGGATTCAAAGGACAAGGAAATTCCTAGGGAACATCAGGAATACTTTCCGACAGGGAGAGCAGTTCAACTGTGGAGGGGTTTCTCTCTGGAGATTGTGGACTCTCCTTGCTTGAAGGTTTTCAAGCAGAGGTTGGAGGGTCATCTTTCAGGGATGGCTTGAGCTGAGATTCCTGCATTGCAGGGGGTTGGACTGCATGACCTTTGGGGTCCCTTCCAGCTCCCCAGTTCTATGATCCTTGGATACCTGGGGGGGGGGGGAGCTCCCTTCCGGCAGAGGTCTCAAGCATCAGAAGCTGCCCATGAATCACTGAGCAGAGCTTCCCCCTTCCGCTCTCCGCGTCACCAAAGCCCTCTGGTGCCACAGACCCAAGTTGATCCAAACTAACCCTGGCAATTAAGGCTTTCTGGGAAATGATCTATAATGAATTGAAAAAGGTATTTAAATATACCTTCCCTAAGAAACCAGAGGCCTTCCTGTTGGGCATTGTTGGCCAAATGGTGCCAAAGAAGGATAGAACTTTCTTTATGTATGCGGCAACAGCAGCAAGAATACTCATTGCAAAGCACTGGAAGACTCAAGATTTACCCACCCTGGAAGAATGGCAGATGCAACTGATAGATTATATGGAATTGGCAGAAATGACTGGCAGAATCCGAGACCTGGGAGAAGAGTTGGTGGAAGAGGATTGGAAGAAATTTAAAGACTACTTGCAAAAGTATTGCAAATTGTATGAATGTTAGAATGATGCGGGATATAAAGATAATATGGTATTAGTGACATAGTTGAAAGGTGTATGTAAAAATGGTTAACAGAACAAAGGTGAAGTCAGGACAATATTATGTCAAACTCAAACCAAATGAAAAACGGGGGAAAAACTGGAGACATAATAGTGGAAATGTATAATATGAAATAAGATTTGAAAGAAGGTGAGGTATTGCTGAACTAGATTCTGTAAAATGGAACACAGAAAAGGGAGATGCGAGGGAGTCTGAAAAGAAGATTATGAGAATAATATCTAAGAAAGTGTTTTTTTCTTTTTTATGTCTTTTTATGTATTCTTTCTTTTGGTTTTTTTCTTGATGGGCTTTTCACTGTGTGTTTTTTTCTGATTTTTGAGTGGTGTTTTTTCTTTTTCCTATTTTGTATTGTGAAGTTTGCTTTATTGTTTGAAACTTTAATAAATATCTTTAAAAAAACACACACAAACTAACCCTGGCAAAACTTTGTTGGCGCCACTGTGCAGATGCCGACTATCCTAATTTGTCTAGTCCTTTTCCAAAGCCATCTAGGTTGCTGGGTGTCACTGAATCATAGAATCATAGAATCATTGGAAGAGACCACAAGGGCCATCGAGTCCAATCCCCTGCCAAGCAGGAAACACCATCAGAACACTCCTGACATATGGTTGTCAAGCCTCTGCTTAAAGACCTCCAAAGAAGGAGACTCCACCACACTCCTTGGCAGCAAATTCCACTGTCAAACAGCTCTTACTGTCAGGAAGTTCTTCCTAATGTTTAGGTGGCCTACTGCGGGAGGGAGTTCCAGAGTTTAACTGTGTGCCAATGGATTTAATAAACTCAGCAGAAACCCACAATGCCAGCTTGGCCGGAAAGAAACAAGAGGTTGGGAATTCTGTGGTCGCAAGAGGACCGCAACTGCAGCTTACCAGGCTGGCAAAGAGGAGAGTCCCTCGCCTCTCCCCCCCCCCCAAGCAAACAGGCCTGAAGGCTGGACAGAGGCAGAAAGCGACATCTGTCTGTCTCCCCTGATCTTGGGGGCGGAGGGGGACAGGGCCTAATCCTGCTGCGTCCTTTTTCAGCAATCAGACAGCTTGGGAAAGAAAGGGGTGGGGGGGGGAGGTTGTATCGTCTGCTGCTGTTTTCCCATCCTTCCCCCGCTCCTGAAATTCATTCCCTGGCAAAGGGGGGGGGGGCAGAAAAGAGACAAGCCGGTTCCCCCACCGCATTAGTATGCAAGACACCACCGACGGCTCAACTCCCCATTCTTCTCACGGTGTACAAAACCCGAAGCCAGCCGGGCAGCCTGCCACGGAAAGCGCCCCCCCCCTTTCCCTCTGAAGGGCGGACATCTGCGGGCAAATCCTCCCCAGCAATCACAAGGGAGAGAAAGTGGGGCAGCGGGAGGGAGTAGGGTGACTCTAGGGCGTGGGGAGAGAAAGAGAGTTACCAGGAGACACGACAAAACCATTCACACGTTCCCCCCCCCCCGCACCGCACCCCACAGACAAAAACGCACCAGTTTCCAAAGTTCCCCATTGGCACAGGGACCCCCCACAAAAGGGTTAGGAAAAAGCAGATTACAGAAGCCCCCCACCAAGGCGAGAAAATGCCTCCCCCAAGAGCGCGGCAGAAGGAACTGACAGGTCGCCTTGTCCCAAAGTAAAATATACGCGGGGACGGGACTCTTTGGCGCCTGGCGCAAAACCAAGAAGGGAGACGAGGGCGCGTAAAGATGGTGATCTTCCAGGTAGGACGAGGACCTGGGGGAGACCCGGGTTCAAATCCCCACTCGCGGGGTGACCTTACGGACTCTGCCGCTGCCTCTCCGCCTCACCTACCTCGCAGGGTTGTTTTGCTTGCGGGTATTAAATGAGGAGGGGGAGCGCCTTTCACGCCCCCTCCAGCTCCTTGGAGATAAAGGCGAGATGCGAATGCAATACAATAAATGCATAAGCCGCCCGCCGAGAGCGCGCTGCTACGCTGCTGGTCGGTCCGCGCCCGTCGGAGGCGCCCCGAGGTCCAACGTGCGCCTGGCACGGGTCGGGGACCGCGCGTAACGAAGCAGCCTCGCCGGGAGGGAAAGCGAGGCAGGCGCCTCCGAGCACCGGGTTGGGGGCGGCCCCGAGGGGCTACGCAGGAGAAGGTCCCGGACCAGTCCCCGCAATGCTCCTGAGCTGCAGGGGGAACTCCGTCGAAGCGCCCTCCCCGTGCCAAGCGCGCGCAGCCCGCGGAGACGCACCGGGCCCGGGGCGCACAAGAGCCGGGAGGCGGCACTTGGCCACGATGAGGTCCAGCGGCAGCGGCGGCCCGGAGCTCCACGCCAGGCGGCCCAGCGCCGCCGCCAGTCGCTCCATGCTGACCTCCGCCGCCGCCGCCGAGGCATCGCCTTCCCTCCGCCGGAGACGCGCCCGAGCAGCCGCCGCCTCGTCCGCCCCGTCGGGGAAGCAGCCGGCGAGCTCCTTTCGCGCTCCGGACGCCGCTGCTGCCGCCCGCCGCCGGGCTGGCTGCTCCCCGGGATGGGATGGGCCAGGCACGCCCCCGGGAGGGGCCGCTTCGACGCCGCGGCCGCGCGCGCCGCCCCTGACTCCAGGGGAGACCTCTTTGCGCCTGCAAAGGAGGTGCCCGCCCCGACGCGCGGGAGGACAAGCCCCTTTTCCCAGCCTGGAAGAGCGCTCAGGGGCCGCAGCACTAGCAAGTTTCTCTTGGGATGCCATGCCTGCGTTGCTTACATCATCATCATCATTAAGCAATCAATTAATTCAAATTACTAGTCGTTTTATTTTGCCCAGGGCAGCTCAAAAAGACTTGCAAACAAAACCCCACAGAGAGGAAGGGGGCTGCTGGTTTGTGAGAAGGGGTCGTTCTTGTTTTTATTGTGCGTTTTGTGTTTTTCTCTTGTAAACCGCCCTAATAAGGGCATTATTCAGATTTAATAATAATAAAAATAAGCCCAAGCCTGGGTGGGAGCTACATCAGAAACATCCCACCCACTTCCAAAGCCCCTCCCCCCCCCAATTAAAGGCCACAGACCTGGCAAGAGAGGAAGGTTTTTTTGCTTGTCGTTTGCAGCATTTGTATGGAGATTTTTTTATTGTTCTAGAGTTTGTGGAATTGATTTCCTTCTTCTCAGAGTTGGTGTTTCCATACCTGTTTTATGCCATAAGGTGGTCTATGACTGTGTTTAATATACCGGTAGGCGCATTTCCCCTTTATTTCTGCTTCCTGTCTTTAACCAATTCCTGATCTGACCTTTATTTATTCTTGCCTTTGTCTCCCCCCTTTTCCTCAAAGGAGTTTGAGTTGGTGTGCCTGGCTCTCTCCCCCCCCCCTTCAATCCCCACAACCACCCTGTGAGGCGGGTCAGGCTGAGAGGCCACCCAGTGAGCTCCATGATGGCTGAGTGGCCATTCAAACCCTGGTCTCTTCCAGGTCATGTCTGATACTCTCCTTGCTACACTGGAACCTTTCCTTTGAGGCAGAGTTCTGTGCCCTTAAGAAGCTTAAATCCTGCGGCTTCTGCCTCTTAAAACCCACATAAAGTTATCTGATTAATATTTGTTCCAACTTTATTGTATGATCCTTTTTCTCCCCTCTCTGTTTCTTGTTCTCAGAAAACAGGCTTCCGTAGTAAGTGGTATTTTGGGGCGCTGGAATAGTCACCCTCCTCTAGACATAGGCCTAGGGAAACATTTTGTAAGACAGCAGGAGCAGCTTTGCAGAGCCTGAAGCATCTGAGAAACACCCCTTCCTCTTGAGCCTGCTCCTTCCAACCTCAGTTTTTTACACAGACCACATGGCAGAACACCTCATGTGTCAACCAGTGAAGGAGGAAAGGCTGAGGCAGGAACTTACACAGGAGGAAAGTCACATTAACTCTGCTGTTCTTCATTAGATACGTCTTCTGTTTATATTTTGACGTGTTCCCCTCCCCTCCGTTATGTCAAGAAAAGCAATTCTCTGTTGGAGGATGAATTATTGCATTCTTCAAAGCAAAATTGCAACCAAACAGGGCTGGAACAGGTTATAAACAAAGATGTGCCACAGAACTAGCTCACCCTAGAGCAGCGCAAGGGTGCCTCTGAGCATATACACTGTGCATTAGCCCATCTGCAGACGTGAGTGGCGGGCTGGTGGCATTTGCAGCAGATAGTTTGTGTGTGGCTGAGCAACAGAACTGCAAGCTGTTGGGGTTTTTTTGTAATTAATGCTTTTATTGAACAAGGTCTGAGTTGAGAGGTTTGCTGTGCGCAGATGCCATTTGAGGGGAGAAAAAAACAAACAAAAGAAATGCAGTCCATCCTCCCGACCCATTTACTCCACAAGTCCCATAGGAATGAAAAAGACTGTGCCTTGCAGAGGCATCAAGAACAAGCCCCAGCTGCAATCCTATGGGTGCTTACATGGGAGTCAGCCCCCACCCAAAGTAAACATGCATATATGCCTTAGCTCTCTACAAACTTGGGGGAGTCACTTGGGGCTCACTTTTGCATTAAATGTGGACTATTGAGGTTGTATAGTTAAAGCCATGGTTTTCCCAGTAGTGATGTATGGAAGTGAGATCTGGACCATAAAGAAGGCTGATCGCCGAAGAATTGATGCTTTTGAATTATGGTGCTGGAGGAGACTCTTGGACTGCAAGAAGATCAAACGCATCCATTCTTAAGGAAATCAGCCCTGAGTGCTCACTGGAAGGACAGATCGTGAAGTTGAGGCTCCAATACTTTGGCCACCTCATGAGAAGAGAAGACTCCCTGGAAAAGACCCTGATGTTGGGAAAGATGGAGGGCACAAGGAGAAGGGGGCGACAGAGGATGAGATGGTTGGACAGTGTTCTTGAAGCTACAAACATGAGCCTGACCAAACTGCGGGAGGCCGGTGGAAGACAGGAGTGCCTGGCGTGATCTGGTCCATGGGGTCACGAAGAGTCGGACACGACTAAATGACTAAACAACAATTGAGGTTGTTAAATGCTTAACCAAGTGCCCCCATCTTGTTTTTTTAACCACCACTTTGGCCCTGCAAAGAGGGAGATGTGATCTCCCATATCAAAACCATGCTGGAGGCAAGAAAAATGTAATCTAAGGTGCATTTTAAGAATGAAATGCACACATTTCTGCCCTCTTCCAGCTAGATTGAGTGATACTGCTGCTCCCATTCATTCCCTCTCTACTCTTTTAGTGTTTGGGGGAGTGAACGCATGTAGTACTTTTAAGGCCACAGTTAGAACTGCAAGCTGTTCACTTTTCAGCAGAAGCCCATGTAAAGCCGAAGTACTTTTGCAAACATTTGCCTTGTGATTAATGGAAGAAGAGCACCCTCTACTGTCGGACTGAGAATTCTGCAGAAAGCAGACTTCTGGGTTGGCGCGATCCGGGAATGGCGGATTCCCTCCGAGCTCCGGAGGGAATCGGCTCAGCGGTGGATGGGTCTTTGCCGTGCCGGCGACACGGGGACCCTTAAAAACCGCAGGTGCAGATGCCTGCGGACTGAAGACTCGGCGGGTGCCTTAAGCGCCCCCCCTGATTCGCGAAGAGCCTTTTTAAAGGCTATGGAGGGGATACGGGGGACGGCGCGGCACTGAGAGTCGATCGCTACCGCCGCTGAGCGAAGCCGCGAGCCATAACCGGAGAGCGCTGACTTCCTTCCTTGAAATTTGGACTGAAAAAAGAACCCGTGAGTAATTTGGAACTGAGCTTTAAAAACTTTTACCTCTTGAATTTGAGACGACCGGGGGGTGTGCCAAAAGGAAGTCCCCATCCCCCCCCTTGCAGACGATCCAGAGCAACGATATAAGAGCTAAGCTGGAGTGTCCACCCTGTAAAGGGTGAGTTTTAAAAAAGACAGTAACTTCCAAGATTTGGAAAAGCAAATTTAAGCAGGAGAGTGGAGTGTTGGAAGAGTTTTTGTTTTGTGGTAAACAACCCTCCCTCCCGAGCCCGGGAGCGATCTGCTTTGGAGCCTGTATAGAGGAGCAGAATTTGACAGCTGTCAAAGCTGTCAAATGGACTGTTAATACTGAAAAAATTGCTACTTAAGACCTCTCCGGATAAAAAGGAGTTACAATTGAACTAAAATTTTGGGAAACAAAGAAACAATAATAGGACAGAGGATTGTTGGAGAAAAGACCATCCAGTAACCAGATTCCCTCTAGGGGGAATTCTGTGGAATTACAATGGCTGTGGGTGGAAAGATACTGAGAGAAATCGAAAGGATGTTTTCACTGGTGGGAACCTTACAGGAGCAGACTACAGCTATGAGTAAACAATTGACGGCCTTGGATTTGGAAACAAGTAGCTCTGCTGAATGTAATGAGGACTTGAATGAGAAAGAACCCACAGCTGAATTTGAAATAATAAACAAAGAAGAGGAGAAGACAAAACAAGAAAGAGAACAAGTTATGTGGGAAAATACTAACCAGAAGCCGATATTTGGAGAATACAAACAAGGAGACCATTGGATGGAATCTATTCCAAGCCTACGAAAGATACAGAAGATGAAAGTGGAGGCCCTGGGAGTTTATGGATCTCAGGAACTCGAAATAAAGAAGTACAATTGGGGCCTCCACATAGACTTTGATTTTGACCATCACCAAGACTCAGGCCTTGTGGAAATTCCTCAGCAGTTGCTTATAAATATGGGAAGAGACTATGGACTGATTGGATTGAATGTTAATGAAATCTTTCGAGACTCGATGACTGACAAAGAGGACTACCAACAAAACCGGCGGAGAGGGACTGAAATAGATTTGAGAGCCTCGGATGTGCGGAATCCAGGCTAAAAACTGTTATTTTGGACATGTCTTGGGAAAGGACGCAAAGCGGGGATGGGAGGGAGGGAAGCATAAACTTAAATAACACTCAAGACCAGGGGTTTAGTAATAAGGAAATTACTCAAGAAAAAATGAGAAATCGAGGGAAGAGAATTGGGGTCCAACTTAGGGAAAACTTATTTTTTGTTTCTATAAAAGGACTAATATTAAGAAGGAAGAAATGCTAACTTGCTGACATAAACCTGGGAACAGGGATGCAAGGGAGGGGGTGGGGGGAAGTCAAGGACTAGGGTTAGAAAATAAGACTTTTTGGAACTATTCATGTTTGCTGTTGTTGTTTTTTATGTTTGTTTTGGTGTTATGTGTTTTGTTTTTGTCTATATAAAATGTGAAAACCCAATAAAAATTATTAAAAAAAAAAAAGAGAATTCTGCAGAAAGCAAGGACAATTATTTATCCCTGTACAGTAGTGCTGTTCACAGTGTTCAATCCCAGAGTGAAAAAGCCCATGAGGGCCAGACCATTAGAGGGAGCGGAAGGAGTCCAGCAGCACAGCCAAGCTGGGAGTCATGGGGCACAAGGCAGCTTGTTTCGGATTGCTGCTGCGTTTAAGATTGCTGCAATGCGCTCTATGCAGGGCCTCCCTCGTGCTTGATCCAGAAGCTGCAGGTAGTGCAGAGTGTGGCAGCATTGCTGAGAGGCTGTGTCAGCATAGAACACCTGCACTGGCTGCCGATTTGCAACTGGGCCAGATTTAAAGTGTTGCTGTTAGCATATAAAGCCCCTAACAACATAGGACCAGTTTACTTATGAGATCCCCTTACCCCAAACGTGCCCACTCGACCGCTTTGATCAGTGGAATGGGCACAACTACAGGCACCACATAATACTCATCCCACATCTGTAAGCTCAGTTGTTTATTGTGGCAGCACCTACTTTGGAACTCCATGCCTGTTAAACCTTCATGGTTTAAACCTCTCATTTGAATCGGAACCAGCGAGGGAGGTGAACGCCCTGTGTCTGGAGATGGAGGATAGATGGCAGTTAATGGATTGATTCCTGATTCCTGACAAGACAGAATAACGGTTTTAGGGAGACAAGGAGCCATCAGGTGTGGGGGACTTCCTGGTCCTGAATGGGGCAACTGTGCCCCCAAAGGACCAAGTGTGCAGCCTGGGAGTCATTCTGGACTCACAGCTGTCCATGGAGACGCAGGTCAATTCTGTGTCCAGGGCAGCTGTCTCCCAGCTCCATGTGGTACGAAGGATGAGACCCTCCCTGCCCACGGACTGTCAGGCCAGAGTGGTGCATGCTTTGGTTATCTCCCGCTTGGACTACTGCCATGTGCTCTATGTGGGGCTACCTTTGAAAGTGATCCGGAAACTACAATTAATCCAGAATGCCTCAAATAGGTCAAAAACCATTTGCTAACCGGAAGTCTCACGCGGAGGTGCCTCTTCCAACTTTTCCACAGAAACATCAGTAGTGCAGGTATGAACAATGTTGTAAATGCTGTTGCACGGAAGGTGACAGGTGTGGACAGGTGTGTGCTGGATGAGAAAATGGGATCAGGCACAACAGGAAGGTAAATGGATTTTATCTTGCAGGTATTCCCCGCAGGGCTGCAACTGTGCCTGGAGAGAAGCTGCAAAACCCTGAAACATTCCAGCCGCTTCATTTAGAAGTAGAGTTACCGATTTTACATTGAAAACCTCACCCCCAGGTGCAAATACCCAGTTAATGACATACCTTCACACTGCGAATGGGAGATGTTGGAAATCAGCCCCTAAAACACTTAACAAGATTGAGTGGGTGACAAAAGTAGGCTGCTCAACTTAATTTATCCAAAGCCTACTGGAAGCTTCAAGGAAGCATATAGAGTAGGGAGACCAGTTATAAAGTCAAAAAGTTTGCTGTGTAGGCCAGGGGTTCTCAAAGTGGGGGCAGTGCTTCTGGGGGGGGGCAGGCAAAGGGATTACCTAGGGGGGCTTTCTAAGAGGAAAGCAGGAGGCAGGGGGTGCTGGAGGTGTCAGTGACTCTTGGATTTTGAAAAGCTGCCATCACTGGAAAAGTCTGTCCATTTGGCTGAATTAAACTAAATAGTTTTAACTGAATTTTGAATAAATGTGCAATCCATTGTTGCTGTAGGGGGCACCGAGGATGAGTTTATGGAACCAAAGGAGCAGCTGCCCAAGTTTGGAAACCACAGATGTAAGCAATATGATTTTGTTTTTTTAAAACATTTCTTTTGTATGCAGTGTCAGCGCATAGCTTATGTGCGCATTTCTCAATGAAAGTAGTCCCAGTATCTGCGTTCCCCAGCCAAGCAGAGGATTTTGGTGCAACGCAGGGACTACCGGGAGGTCCTGTTGTTTGCCAGATGCAGGAGTGCCAGCTGCCATCTCCTGTTCTTGTCCTGCACGGGGGACTCTGGGGCAGATCTGTAAAAGTGACTAAACAGAAGTGGGCCAGGGGAAGAGGTTCCCATAAGCCAGGGAGACAAGCCGAGCAAGATGCCGGGAACCAGGAGGAGGAGGAGGGCGGAAGATGCTAGCATGGCCTTGATGGAGCCTCACAAGCCAGTGATGGTGCTGGCCTTGTGGTCCCTGTTCCATCAGGAGACCTGCTGCTCCTGCCCATCAAGCCCCAAGAGCTTCACCAGCAGGAGGAGGAAAGGGGAACGACCCACCAGCTGCAAGGCAGAGAGAACAAAGAGTCAGTACACTGTAGTGGTTAGTCTTGGACTGGGGCCTGAGAGGACAGGGTTCAAATATCCGCTCAGCCATGAAGCTCGCTGGGCGACCTTGAGCCAGGCAGCTTGCCAAGCTAACCTACCCCACAGGGTTGTTGTGAGGATAAAACGGGGAGGAAGAGAATTGCGCAGTGCCACTTTGAGGAAAGGCGGGTGATCCAGCCATCTCCCTGCAAAGCCCAGATTCTGGTGGCTCTGTGGATTGGATTCAGCTTCTGGGACGAAGGCGGCTCCATGGATGGAGTGCGACCAGGTCTTGCCATCACTAAGGGGAGTGCTTGGGCGAAGAGAAGAGACTGCAAAGCACCACCCTCAGAGCAAAGTGCTGGGGGGGCGGCCCTGGAGGGCGCAAGGTTGGGGAAGGGCTGCTTCACCTGGATCGTGGGAAGAAGCTGCAGCCTTCCAAGGCATGGCTGGGCAGTGAGAGGTGGAGAGGTGCCCCTGGCAAAAGGGGCGGCCAAAAGGGGTTCCACACTCCCAGCCAGGAGGGAGGGGGCCCTTCTGCTGTTACAGGAAATACTCTGAAACATACAAAACCCACATCACAATTGTCAACATGAATAGAAATAGACCAGCTAGAAATATTTCAGTTTATTTAACTTGTTAAGTAGAATATGAATTTTTAGCTAGTAGTACCAGAGAGTGGACTGTTTTGTTTTTTAACTGCTTGGTGCTTAATGAACACAGCTTTTACAAAGGATCTCAAAGAGACTCATACAGGAGGGCCAGGCCCAGGAAGCAAATAAAAAAAGCGCACGTTTTTAAACAAAGGTTATACAAAAAAGGATTTCGATGCAGACTCCACATTCCCTTTTTTCTCTCTCTTGGTAACGTTAGAAAGTGCAGCTCTGAAAAGGTAGCCAGCCATTTTCTATTTACAACACTAATCAGTAACACCATTACGCAAGGAACAAAAAACGGCACTGGTTTTTTGTTTTTTTTGTCCCCTCAAGTCACCCAGTTATTTTGCCTTTGCTTCAACAGCCACTCAGCTGGGAGAGGTTAACAAGCACGGGAAGAGACAGACTGCTCAACACAGGAGAGAAAGCGAGAGAGAGAGAGAATGAGAAAGGACAGTTCCTACGCAGGTGACACCAGAGCAAGGCAAGAGTTCCAAACACTTTTCGTGTGTCTGTGTGTGTGTGGTTTTAATTAAAAATTAAAATCAGCATCACCAGCTGATTTAATTAGTAGAGGAAGTTTCCTAAAAACAAGGGCAACAAGTTCATCCTCAAGCCAACCTCTGGAGCACACCTGGGTTGGGGGGAGAGGGGGGGCGCAGGAGAGACTGTGCTGCAAGAGCCCCCTCCTGCGGTGGGTTTGCAGGCAGGCTTGGCGGTGGGGAGAAGGCAGTCCCAGTAAGGCACCCCGCTCAGCACGCACCTCAAGAGAAACCAGCTCTCGTCCCGACCCCGGCTCTGCCCGAAGCAAAGGACCCCCCCCTCCCCACGCTCTCAAGGCGGGCACTCCATCGACATCTCTGCAGCAGAGCCAGAGCGAGAGGCAAGGCAGCAAACTGGAAATGCAAGTCCTGCCCCCGAGGGGAACCCAAAAGCAGAGCGTGCGCCCTTTTGCTCGTGCAAAAGGGGAAAAAGGAAGAGAGGAGGTGCTGCGTTTGCTCGCCGTCCTTCCGCATCCGTTGAAAGAATTTACAATTGCCCAGGGTTGTAAACAAGGGATGTTTTTTATTGTGAAGAACTCAAACACAGAAGGAGAGCATCCTAGGGGTGCGACCATTCGACTCACCTGCCCTCTTTCCCCCACCCCCACCCGTCTTAAATATGTACTAGGCTACCGAGTCACCTGCCTGGAGCAGCAAAGAGAACCAATTCTGTGTCGAGGGCTGTGGATTCGTGAACCGCCTGGCAGAGTCATACATAAAGATCAACAACAGCCACATCATCATCATCACCATCCTCCTTAGGAAACTAGTGCATGCAATTAATTCTTCCATTATTACCATAAACCCCAATAACTACGCAGGAGGGAGGGGGGGGGATAGTAGCGGGCCTGACGTTTGCTAGACAAAGGTTAGTAGATACTTCACGTTTTACCTCAGAAAGCTAGAATCCGTGATCAGTGCTTCGAATTAAATTTGGCAAACGTACTGTGTTGCCGTCTCTTAAACACATCACACCATAAAATAAAAAATAAAAAATAAAACCGGCATGCAAGCAAAAAAGAGAGAGAAAGAGAGAGAAAGGAAATAAGGAGGAAATTGGTAGAGAGAAAATGGCAGCAGGAACTGGTCAGCATTTAAAGCCCCCCCCCTTTCCCTCCCCAGGGAAGAAGGAGACACCAAGCAGACTGGAATCTCTTGCTCTAACCCCCTTGTCCTCAATTCACTACATCAATCACAGTAAAGTCATCGCAGGAGAGTTTGATAGTTTAAACGTGGCGGAGTCAAGTGGGGGGGGCAACTCTCCTGTCCCGCTTCCGTCAGAGCAGGAAGAGGGGAAGAAGGAAAAAAGGGGGAGGGGGAGAACCAAAGTTCCTTTCCACATAAGGCACAGGACAAAATAATAAAACCCCATTTACATACTCAAGGCGAATGGATTTCTTTTTTGCCAATGCAAATATGGTGACTTAAGCACAGAATTCATTAACAAAACCCCACTGCTGTACAAAATAAACTGTTAATGCTAAGTTTTATTCTTGTACAATTTGCAGACTGGAGCTGAAATGATTTGCTCTAAGTTTTAATGTTAAGACTGGGCTATAATACAACCAGGATGTGACGCCGAGTTGAGCTGGTACATTAAAAGAAAAGAAGAGTCAGACATGATTTTAATACAGTTTCCAGAAAAATTATCGTCAGCGAGTTCTCCCGAAACAGAAGAACAAAGGAAGAGTGGAGCCATGTTAAGATGAGGAACAAAAAAAAAAAATTTTTTTTTAAGGTTAAAAATGGGTAAAGTGGTTTATTCCACAGCAAGAAGAAGAAGAGGAGGAGGAGGAGGAAGATGGTGCTTGGCGAGGAGGGAGCACGTTCAGCAGCACTTGCTCTTCCATCCCGTCACGCCACCTCCACTGCTGATATCTACATTTTCACTGTTGGGCTCTTTTACAGGGGTCTGCAACAAAGCAGCAAGACAGGGGTTAAGTCAGAATTGCAATGCTCCTTCAGTGAACATCAACAGCACAGCGACCAGGGTTCAAATGCAGGGTTTCCCAAACTCTTTCGGACTACAACTTCCATCACCCCTAGCTAGCAAGGCCAGTGGTCAGGGATGATAGGAATTGTAGTCCAAAAGCAGCTGGAGATCCCAAGTTTAGGGAAACTCTTAATGGGCAATGAGCTTGTTCTCAGGGTACGTTACGTTATGGGCCTAGGAAGGGTCATGGCTCCGTGACAGAGCCGCCAGCAGCATCTCCAGGTAAGCCTATCAGAGGCCACACCTGAAACCCTGGAGAGTCACTGCTGCAAGTCAGGGCAGACAGTACTGATCTCAATGGACCAGGAGCCTGACTTGTACAGTGGTGCCCCGCAAGACGAATGCCTCGCAAGACGGAAAACCCGCTAGACGAAAGGGTTTTCTGTTTTGGAGGTGCTTCGCAAAACAAATTTCCTATGGGCTTGCTTCGCAAGACGAAAATGTCTTGCGAGTTCCTGCAGGTTTTTTTTCCTCCCACCCCCCTTTTTCCCAAGCCGCTAAGCCGCTTATCAGCTGATCGCTAAGCCGCTTATCAGCTGATCCGCTAAGCCGCTTAACAGCTGATCCACTAAGCCGCTAATCAGCGGATCCGCTAAGCCGCTAATCAGCTGATCCGCTAAGCCCGCTAATAGCGCTAATCGGCTTGCTTCGCAAGATGAAAAAACCGCGAAGAGAATCGTGGAACGGATTCTTTTCGTCTTGCGAGGCACCACTGTAATGAAGCAGCTCTTCCTTGCTTTCCTGCACCAACATGCATGGTATTCAGCCACACACAGATTTCTATAGTGACTCTGGATTGTGTCCCTCCCCTCCCCTCTCCCAGCAACCCCGCAGGCTATTATACCTGGGGAAAGGAATCACAGAATTGGAAGGGACTCTGAGGATCATCTAGTCCTCCCCACTGCAATGCAGGAATATGTAGCTGTCTCTTACGGGGACTGAACTTCCCATCTTGGCACTACCACACTTGAATCCAATGAGCTATCCAGGCTCAAGATATTGCAGCTCTAGGCAAAAGTCGGGGAGGAGGGAAGGGGAAGCACAAATTGGGGGCCCATTTGTGCCACTGAGTCTCAATGGCTCTCAGTCCAGTTCCCGTTGTCCTGTTCCTGCCCCACCTCCCACCCAGCAACCAAGCCCGCAGTTACCTTTCGAAGAATGTCTTCTGCTAACGTGAGGAATGCCTTCTCAATGTTAATATTTGCTTTTGCGCTAGTTTCAAAAAACCTAATACCGTGCTCCCTTGCAATCTAGGAAAAAAGGAGAAACAAACAAACAAACCTGTGAGGGTGGCAAATGCTTCACTGCTGCGTATCAGAAATGGGCGGCTGCCTCTGTCCTGCTGCCCAAACACACCCACAGCAGTGAGAAGAGATCCTTCAACCTCAGCAATAAAAAAATTACAAGGCAGGACAGGAATGTTCCCAAATAAGTTTACTTGCAAGAACATAAAACATTTGATACATATGGCATGTCTGCTAGATGCTCAAGTGAGCTCAGTTTGGTGAGCAGAGGCCTGTTCCAGCCTGGGTTGCTCTGCCTGCTAAAATTTAGAAAGACACAAAACTAATCCAGCAAAGGAGCTCCTGTCTCTGAGCCGATACTGAACCACCGTGAGGATGTGCGGAGAGGACACTCAGGTGGCCCCTAGGAGAACAGGATGCTCAACTTATAAGACTGCGCTAGTTCACTTAAGGTGACTCACAGCCCTAGCCTGCGGGACAAAATGTAGGTCCGCAGGCAACCCATGACCACTTGGGGTAACCCTGAGCTCCCTCCGGAAGCCGGGGATACTATGCTTTGAAGGGGTGGGGAAGAGGAGACAGACAGGAACGTTCACAAAGCTTTTCAAAGACTGGCCTGTGTGTTTGGGCGTAACGAAAGGACAGCTCAGGGTAACAAATGCTAACGGGTTTTGCAACTTAAGTTACCGTATTTTTCGCTCCATAAGACGCACCTGACCATAAGATGCACCTAGTTTTTAGAGGGAGAAAGCAAGAAAAAAATATATTCTGCGCAGAGCATGTAAGCGGCTCTCGCTTTTCTTGCTTTAAACCTTCCGTCCCTCCTCCCGCTTCGCTGAGAAGCCAGCAGAGCAAGAGCGACAGCTGCACAGCGCCTCTTGTTCTGCTGGCTTCCCAGCAAAGTGGGATGAGGGACAAAAGGGAGCCCTTACAAGGGAGTGCTGAGCAGAGCCTGGCAGCGGCTCTTGCTGGCTTTTCCGGGAGGTGGCGGAAGGGACAGAGGGCAGCCCGTCAGTCCCTTCTCCCACCTTGCGGAAAAGCCCCCAAGAGCTGCACACACGCTCCGTGCGGCACTTTAAAGGGAGCACTGAGCAGAGCCTCCCACCTGCATTCGCTCCATAAGGCGCACACACATTTCCCCTTACTTTTTAGGAGGGAAGTGCATCTTATGCAGCGAAAAATAGGGTAGGTGGCCTGGGCCTGTGGAAATCTGTGTCCTGAAGGCAGACCACCTGGTGACAGCTGCCCATAGGTGACTCCAAGCCCAGGGGTCTCCTCTTCGGCCCACTCTTTGCCACCTGCAGAGTCCAGCGGAACTGCCACTCACCTGTTCGCCTTTTGCTTTGGGCACCACCCTCTTGTCATCCATGTCACACTTGTTACCTAGCAGCATCCTCTCCACATCTTCGTTGGCATGCTAGAGGGCGGAACCAAAGAAGAGCACCATAAATTCTTCTTCCCTGCATTGCTCCTACTCCCTCCAGAAAGCAAGGCTGACCTAGCTACGCCATCGTGAGTGGCCTGTCACACAGAACAGTACCTGGGAGAACCATGCAATCATAAATGATGGGTTGTTGTGTGATTCGGCTTCCATATTAGATTACTGCATGCGCTCTACGTGGGGCTGCCCTTGAGGACGGATCAGAAACTTCAACAGGTCCGAAGCGCAGTGGTCAGAGCGCTGGCTGGGGTCACCTTTAGAACTCAATGCCTGTTCTAAAACTTTTGGCGAATGCTGAAAATACACCTCTTTCCCCTGGCCCTTGACACCTGAGATGTAGGACCCACCCTACTCCTGTGAACATCATCTGCTTCAAATGGTTGTAACACAGAATAAAAGAATTGCAGAGCTGTAGTCCAGCCCCCTGCAATGCAGCAATAATGGAGAGTGGCCAATACATTTATTGGTATGAATAGTAATAAGAATAAATGTATTATTTAAGAAGGCCAATGTCTTGAAAATAGGGAGAGAAAACACTGCTATTTTATGTCCGTTTGCTCCATTTAGTGCTTTGTTTCTAAAATAATTTCCCTGCTACCTTTCTGCATATCAGGAAACAAGCCAGCCCTGTCTGTGCTGAGGGAGGGCTGCATGGTACTTCACAGGAGGATTAGACAATTTCATGGAGGCTATCGGGGGCTACTAGGCAGGAGGGTCGTGATCCACTTCCAGCAGGCTTTCCTTGCATAAGCACTTTCTGTTGAGGCAAACCTACCCTGCCCTGCTTTACCCGAGGGTGACTCTTTGCCCCCCCCCACAAACACACAGAGCTCTCGAAATGGGCAGCATTAGGGTCCCCCCCCCTCACGACTCACCTCATCAATGTTTCTGAGCCATTTGCTGATGTTTTCAAAGCTTTTGGCATTGGTGATGTCATACACTAGCATGATTCCCATGGCACCTCGGTAGTAGGAGGTGGTGATGGTGTGAAACCGTTCCTGCCCTGCTGTGTCCCTGTGGAGAGAAGCAGAGAAACATGCAGCACTGCAGCAGCAGCAGCAGCAGCAGCAGCCAAGCTTCAAGGGGGAAGCACAGAATGGGGCCACAAAGGGCCTTCAGCACTCGATGCTCTACTGCCCTTGAAGACCCCCGGTGGCTCCCCTTTGGAGAAGCAATATCAGATTCATGATACCCGTTTCGTGATTTTTGAACTGGCAATATATCACAAATCATGATATGTGTTAGGGCTGGGCGATATATCATTCAAAACCGGTTTCAAGTCCATATTGTGATACTGGTTTCATGATTTTTGACCTGGCAATATATGGTGTGTGTGCATGCACTCTGCAAAAACCACAATGTGGGGGAAACCGTGAAACCAGCCAATGCTTTGACATAGCTCCATCCTTTATTTTAGACACTGTGATATACAGTCATACCTCTTGTTACGTCCGCTTCATGTTGCGCATTTTCAGGTTGCATTCCGCGGCGACCCGGAAGTACCGGAAAGGGTTACTTCCGGATTTCGCCACTCACGCATGCGCAGATGCGCAAAATGACATCACACGCATGCACAGAAGTGGGGAATCACGACCCGCATGTGCGCAGACGCGGGTTGTGTTCTGTTCAGGTTGCAAATGGGGCTCCGAAACAGATCCTGTTCGCAACCTGAGGTACCACTGTATCAGTATATTGCGATGTTTAGCTGGTGATATATTGTGATGTCGAAAACCAGCCCAAGCCCTCATTACCATGAGGATACAGGATAATTCCCCACCGCCCTCTGCTCAATAGACGCCTTCACCAGACGGCATGACAATAAAGGCCCCCACTCACCACGGCAGAATCTCATCACCCAGATGTAATGCTTCGTAGGAAACCTGGCAAGCACAGCCATGGGAATTCCTAACGGCAGGTCCGCTGTGCCCACCTGTGCTGGCTGAGCTCTGGGGCCGCCTCTCCTTGAGCAACCCAAGGCATTTCTAGGCCAGGTGTGGAGGGAGAACAGAGTGCTTTAACCTCCGTCCTTCAGACCACTGACTCGCCTATGATGACCAGGCAGGTGCTTATGTATAAACCTGCCCGTGGACAGGATGCAAGTAAGCTGCACCAAATGTTTGTCTGTTTAGGTCAAAGGCAGACTTTGGGGCTGCAGAAGAATTGCCTGCAAATGCCTTAGTTGCAAGATCACTCAGCTTTCCCCAGTCCTGTTTGCAGGTCTCTCTCTCCCTGCTGTGGCTGATCTCTTCTCATTGTGTTGTCTTCCTCAATTAGTCATAGGGCACATACTGAATGTTATTTATGTTACATACTGTCTGGCTAATCGACCCTTTTCACTGTAGCTATGAGAGTCACAGAGCACTTCTTGACATTGCCAAAGCATCTCACCCCCCCCCTTTTCGCATCAACATAACCCCCCCCCCAAATTCTGAAGTGCCACTTACCATATCTGCAGTTTGATCTTCTTTCCTTGCAATTCAACTGTTTTGATCTTGAAATCTATCCCTAAAATATAAAAGAAACAACAGAAGTCATGACATGCCCAGAAAAACTATACTGAAAAGTGCAATTATGGCAGATCCATCATCAAGCCCCACCCCCACCCCCACTATGGGAAATCTTTACACCTTGCTTCTATACCTGCCACAAATCACCAGTCCATATAGCCTACAAATAACCTTACATTTTAGTCAATCTCCTGGCCATTCCTGCCAACATGGCATTTGGTGCTTCAAGCTACAAAGCCATTTCACTAGTGCCTGTAGTTTATTCCAAGTTATACTGAAACCGAGTTGTCTTTTTGCAGATTCCTCCAAGTCATTAAGCTGTGCGTAAGTGCAGTTCAATAACACCTATAGCACACGGCAACTTCCGGATTAAAGAGTAGGTGAGGTCTCTTCACCCAGGCTTTTCTTAAGGCATATGAGGAGGTGTGGTCTGTATTCTTTGCTGTGCTGTCAAACAGACAGTTAAGGTGTTCTGTTGCAAATGTTAGTTTATGCGACCTGACAGTTACGTATGCGTTTTTGATTTATTATGTGACCCACCCTGGGGCTGGGAAAGAAATTTAATACAGGACATAAAGACTCTCCCTCTGTGAATATTTCTGTAAGACGTGAGTTTCTGAACATGTGTAAACAGGGCCACAGGCAGCCCAGGTAACGCCAGGGTCTGAAGCTAAAGCCTATGCACATGGTCTCTCTTGAAGTGTAGTCCTTCTGAGGAACAGCAAAATGCTCTTCTTTTTAGAGTCTTTGGGGTTCTGATTCATGGCTGACTTTTCCTAATTTTCTGATTATGCTGACTTTCTTCTGTATCGTTTGCTGCGAGTTAATCCGAAAGTTTTCACAGTTTCTGCTCTGTTATTATGTTCATTATAGGTGGGTGTATTTAATTTACTGTAAGTTGCTTTGCAGGTTCAGAACAAAAGGTTGGAAAGGAGAAGAGGAAACAAAAGGTTTGTCTTATTTTAGTATTTTCAATTTGAGGTCAATCTCATTCATCCTGGTCCTCTGCCTCTCCGGGATTATCTTAAAGTTTCATCAATATTAATTTTTAAAAATGGTAAACAAAGGAAGTCACCAATTTCTCATGCAATTCATATTTCCATTTAAGCACAGCACTGTAATGTTAATTGACAATCTGTCTGCTGTCCAAATAGACTTGCAAAGCACCCACAAAAAGATTTGTGCATATGCTGTTTGAGAACTTCTATAAAAGGGTGGTTTAATAATGATAACAATCAATAATTATATGTGTTCAAAAGGAACGTATATGTTCCACTCGCAAGGGTGTGGGATGCAGCAGCTACATCCCAGTCAGGTACCAGGATTAAGGGCCTGGCATTCATCATTCGACATGTGGCATCATGAGAGACGAACCTAAATCAGGAGCACTATAGTTATGCTTACTTCAGGTCTCCCACAGTACCCTTCCTACAATCCAGAATTGCCAACACAAGATTTTGCAAAAGCTTTCTGTTAGAAAAATGCCCACATTGGTCTTAAACCAAAACTCGAACCTTCTCAGAGTCTGAGAGCACTACGAGCAAATGTCAAAGCTACACTCAGATGAGGACAGCAGTTACTGGGAAAAGATAAAATATTGTGAAATCTTAATGAACTGAAACATGATCTTGGAGCAGCAGCAGAAGAAGCAAGACCAAGGCGAACAAACTTTCATACTATGGAAAACAAGTCCAGGGCCTTCTCAATATGGGAAGTCCAGCATGTGAAGACACCTTTTACATATAATAATAATAATAATAATAATAATAATAATAATAATAATTTATTATGCCCCGCCCAAATGTAAGCTTTTAAGTGGGGACAGTTAACATATCCTCTAGGAAATGTTTCATAACTTCAGACATGTTTGCTGAGGTTAATATGAAATACACGTCATGGAAACAATTTTAAGTTGAATTTGAATTAAGTCTATGTTTCCCATTGATTTCATCTGTGATTTTATCTGGAGGACTTTCACACAGCCAAGTGTTCCGGAGCCCCAAGTGGCTTACAGAGATGAGTCAAGACAGCCCCTGCCTTCAGCCTTGCAACCTAAAGGGTGTGATGACAAAAGGAACAGTGGGTTGGGAAGGCTGGAGGGAAAGGGCAACTGGGGCACTGTGTCCACAGAGTCCTTGCAATAACCAGAGGAAGCAAAGCAGAGTTCAAGGAGAGGAGGAGCAGGAGTGGAAAATTATTGAGCTGATGCAGCAACTGAGCGTCCCATCTTCCCTCTGCTGCAACTTGATGAAGCAGCTGTTGTTGCAGCCAAGCAACTGCTGGTGGAAGGAGGAACCAGAGGTGGTTGTTTTTTTCTTTCTTTCTTGGAGCAAGATGGGAGTTCCTCCACTTCTATTGCAAGCAACAAACTGAACACTGGAAGTGAAACAGCATCACTGGGACACAGGTAGGATGGACACCTGTCATGGATGCTTGAGCTGAGATTCCTGGATTGTAGGGGGTTGGACTAAAGTAGTGTTTCCCAACCTTGGGCCTCCAGCTGTTTTTGAACTACAATTCCCATCATTCCTGACCACTGGTCTTGCTAGCTAGGGATGATGGGAGTTGTAGTCCAAAAACAGCTGGAGGCCCAAGGTTGGGAAACACTGGACTAAAGGACCCTCAGGGTCCCTTCCAGCTCTAAGATTCTATGACCTAAACCAAGGATGTCCAACAGGTCAATCGTGATCTACTGGTAGATCCCCAGGAGGTTTTGGTAGATAACGGTTGATCGCTGGCTCCCTTTCCTTATCAGGGGCAAAAGAGCATCCTGCCCTGCCCAGTGAAGGCGGTGAAGGTCCTGTGTAAGTGCCTGGAGCCGGTTGGAGGATGGATGGCGGCTAACAGATTGAGGTTGAATCCTGACAAGACAGAAGTACTGTTCTAGGGAGGACAGGAGGTGGGCGTGTGTGGAGGACTCCCTGGTCCTGAATGGGGTAACTGTGTCCCTGAAGGAGCAGGTGCACAGCCTGGGAGTCATTCTGGACTCACAGCTGTCCATGGAGGCGCAGGTTAATTCTGTGTCCAGGGCAGCTGTTTACCAGCTTCACCTGGTACGCAGGATGAGGCCCTCCCTGCCTGCAGACTTTCTCACCAGAGTGGTGCATGCTCTGATTATCTCTTGCTTGGACTACTGCAATGCGCTCTATGTAGGGCTACCTTTGAAGGTGACCCAGAAACTACAACTAATCCAGAATGTGGCAGCTAGACTGGTGATTGGGAGCGGACGCCGAGACCACATAACACTGGTCTTGAAAGACCTACATTGGCTCCCAGTTCGTTTCCAAGCACAACTCACAGTGTTGGTGCTGACCTTTAAAGCCCTAAACGGCCTCGGTCCAGTATATCTGAAGGAGCGTCTCCACCCCCATCATTCTACCCGGACACTGAAGTCCAGCGCCAAGGGCCTTCTGGTGGTTCCCTCGCTGCGAGAAGCCAAGTTACAGGGAACCAGGCAGAGGGCCTTCTCGGTGGTGGCACCTGCCCTGTGGAACGCCCTCCCACCAGATGTCAAAGAGAACAGCAACTACCAGACTTTTAGACGGCATCTGAAGGCAGCCCAGTTTAGGGAAGCTTTTAATGTTTAATAGGTTATTGTATTTTAGTGTTCTGTTGGAAGCCACCCAGAGTGGCTGGGGAAACCCAGCCAGATGGGCAGGGAATAAATAACAAATTATCATCATCATCATCATCATCATCATGCCCCCTCGCCCCACCCTCCATTCTTGCATGATTTATAGAACAGAAGACGGAGTTTTCTCTCTGAGGCTGATTGTTTGTATTTTGGTGAGCAACTTTCCCTGTTTCTCTCCCCAAAAAGCTCAGCATCTTTGGCCTGAACCCATAAAAAACCAAGACTTTCCTCCCTAAAAAAACTCAACAACTTTTCCCTGAACCCCCACCCCAAGCGGTAGATCACTGCCAGTTTTTTATTCTGTCAGCAGATCGCAGTCTCTTAGGAGTTGGAAATCCAGAGCAGGCAGTCACAAGCTGAACTGCCATTCCAATACGCTCACTCACCCCTGCTCCAAAACAAGACCAACTTCGTCTCAAGTCTCAATCAAACTTACAGGGTTTCAGAAAATATGAATCACTACATGACGTTCAGGAGCAGCTCATGCACAATTCAAGGGATTCTGCACTGTGGTTAGGAGAGCAGGAAGTGTGCACATGCACACACTGTGTGCCAATGAGGCAGCCAGGCTAGGAAGTAAGGATGCATAGCAACATTTCTGTGCCGGTCCTTGTGCACAAGAGGGGGCCAGCAGGAGACTCACGGCAACCCTGGCGCTTATAGCACCACAAAAACAAATATTCAGAAGGAATACTAAGGGGGAATTCCCAAGAACAGAGCCTGCTGGTGGCCCACCTGAGAGGTGGTAGAGAAGGCAGGAAGAAAACAGAGGGAAGGAATGGAGTTCCCTGAAAGGGACCATCTGGCTGCTGGAACCCTGAACAGGAGCGACACTCCTTAGTTGCCAGTAATCTCTGCAGAACAACAGCAACTTATTGCTCTTCCTCACAGCATCTCACACCTATAGAATAAAGGGCGCCTAACACAAGTTCCTTCCAGTTCCAGCCTTAATGAATGTCTCCAAAGCCTCGAGCACCACCTCACGTGACCCTCATTTCTCTTTCTACAAACACAGTAGCAACAGTGTCACAACCAACCTTCACTAGTTTTGCCAGCAAACATAAAGGTGATTTTTTGGGGGCAGTGGGGAGTGCCCACTTTCCCCAGCCCTATGTCTGCATAAAATCTGGAGACAACTCAGCTAGGGATTGGCATTGCATTCTTTTTGTTTCTGCAGTCTTCTTCACAGCACCTAAGTAAAATTAGATTACTTCTGTCCTCCAACTTGGCGGATTTTTTGTTGTGCCTGCTCTATTGTGTGTGGAGGGGGAGACTGCAGGGTTGAGCTACCAGAAACTCGAGCACTGGCTCCCAAACGTTTCCCTCCCTCCAGACTTGAAAACTGCAGATGTTTTTGTGCTGTT